GGAAACGACTCGACGGCACTTAACAACAACAACAACAACATCATATCCATTTATTAATAGCTTCATTGATATTTAATCCACATGCCATATAATTCACCGATTTCAAGTGAACAATTCAGTGGTTTTCAGTAGTTACAAATATGTGCAGCCATCACCATAGTGAATTTTGGAACATTTTCATGCCCCAAAAAGGAACTCAGTACCCTCTACCTATCAGCCTGCCTCTCCCACCCCTCCCAGCCCTCAGCACCACTCATCTGCTCTCTGTCTCTAGATCTAGATTCCTTGTTCTTGGTTCTTTTATATTCTCTTTATCTCAGACCTTCAATTTGGTTCAATCCCTGCTGAAAATCTGCATTTCCACCCCACATAGACTATCTCAGAAGCTTCGTTTTAACAGGATCCTAAGCGTTACCTGCAAATGGAGGGAACCAGTTCTATTTTCCATTTCATGTGGTATTGTCAGACTTCCCTTTACTTCTGTGGACATTTAAAATGGCCACTTTTAAGTCTTTTCTAATGAACCTGACATCAGCTCACCCCAAAGATTGTTCCTGTTGCCTGCTTTTCTCCCCTGCACTTGGGTCATACATCACTTTTTTTCTGTTGCTTCAAGGTACTGTGGTGGTGTGGTATTTAAACCACTCATCTGCTAACCAAAAGGTCAGTGGTACAAACCCACCAGCGGCTCTGTGAGAGAAAGATAAGGCAGTCTGCTTTCATAAAGATTTGCAGCCTTGGAAACCCTATAGGGCAGTTCTACTCAGTCCTATCAGGTTGCAATGAGTCAGAACTGGCTTGATGTCAGGGAGTTTTGTTTTTTATCACCTCATAATTTTTTGTTGGAAACTGGACATTTTAGAGAATATATGGTAGTAACTCTGGGTACTGGGCCTCCCTCCTCAACTTATTACTACTATTTGCTTATTTGTTTAGCAACTGCCTAGATTATTATAGTGAAGTCCATTCCCCACCCACTCCCACACACAGTGTTAAACCTGTTAAACTTTGACTGCTCCGAGGATGACAGGAGTACTGGCAGGGGTCTCTCCTGGATTATTATTGTAGTGAAATCCACCCCACACATACACACACACAATGTTAAGTCTCCAACTGCTCCTGAGACGACAAGGGTACTGGGGTACGGTCTCTTCCAGTCTACCCTGACCAACCCCAGCTGTTAAACTCCACTAATTCCCAGCTGGTTGCTTTACTGTGTTCAACAGTGACTGAGCCTAAACTGCCCTGCAAACGAGTCCAATCAAGTCCTGGCTCCTTGCTGAGGTCAGTGCTTGGTGTTTGTTCTGTCCCCAAGGGGGCTCCTCCCAGATGCTTTCACAACTTGCAGCGTTCTGGAGAGCACTGGCCTTCAGACTTACAAGACTATGCTAATGAGCTAGGACTGCCAAATTACACATAAGCCAGCTTCCCAAAGGCTGGTTGGATGTTTGACCTGATTTTAAACCAGGTAAGATTTTACATCAGGAGCTTACTTGAAACAGAAACACCTCCTTTTAGTCTATGGTGGTGGTGGTGGTGTTAACTGCCGTCGAGTCGTTTCCGACTCATAGCGACCCCATGCACAGCAGAAGGAAACACTGCCCGATCCCGCGCCAGCCCCACAATCCCTG